TTATTTTCACAGGCAATCTACCTAAGTGTGAGTTTAGCATTGTAATCGCATATGTATTGATCATGTATACACTTGAATAGAGACTCAACGTGAGAAGTTGGTACATAACTGCATGCAGTTAGGAGACTGTTACGTACAACCAATTTATGGATACAATTATAGTAGGTCTATGGTACAATCTACTAATTCACTTTATTTTGTTTGTGCTTGCATGAATTGACTGTTGGCTGTAAGTACACATGAGCTGATCATACTGTAAGCTTTATTGGACATTGGATATATTTGTAAAATGAGCTCGTGCTTATAGTAATAGCCAGAAATCCGATATCTACAACAATGGCTGAGAAGACTGAGGAAGGGAAGGCTCCAAGCTCTTCTGAGAACCTGACGTGTCCACTATGTCTTGATATCTTCGACGAGGCAACAATCCTGACTTCATGCGGACACACCTTCTGTCGGAAATGTCTCAAGAACTATGACCTGTCCCACCAGGACCTTGATCACATGATCTGTCCTCTCTGCAGGAATATCACCAAGTTGTCTGCGAACCGTGTCGATGATTTCCCCACCAATGTGACGGTCAACGGACTCGTAGACGAGTACCACACCAAGTGTGGAGGGATGAATGCTGTCCTTGAGATGCGTCCAAAATGCACTGCATGCAAGTTTCATGAAGATGCTGTCTCATTCTGTAAGACGTGTAATTTCTATATGTGCACTAACTGCGACTACAGCCATAATCAGCTGACATCAGTCTTTGAAGGTCATGATATTGTATCCATAGAGGATATCATCAACGGGAAGGTCAGCGTTGGTCATCTATCCGAGAAGTGCTGCATTCACAAACAAGAGAACAAAGATATGTTTTGTGAGGATTGTAAGGTCCACGTCTGTTTCAAGTGCGTGATCGTCGGTCATCATAATCACAAAATCAAGAATCAGGCTGATTTCGAACAGGAGTTACGGCTTAAGGTAAGCGTAATTTTATTTAAGGTACCATAGGCGCCAAAAGTGGGGAGGGGGGGGGGGCGCACCCTTCCAAATTCTAAAATTCTCTCTCCGTCGCTACGCTTCATCGACATTAATAGACGTGCCCTTTCTTTCAGAATCATCAAAGCGAGGAAGCTGATCACTTTCTTCTATCAAGGTGGCAGCTAAATTAATTTCGCCGTATAGCGATCAGATTTTAATAGTTCTGAATAGATTTTTAAAATTGTAAGTCTTCAGTAAGCGATATTGACTTCCTCAATGTAGCTCCTCGTAAGAGAAAGGAAAAATCGATGACATTGCATTAACTATAGCTACGATTTATAACAATGTACAGTGCGTCCCAGAAAAAACGTAACCGAGAAATATCGATGTTTTATCATAACTTGATCATAATTTTAATTAATAAATGACACATATTTGGAAAGCTTAGATCCTCTTCTTTCATACAATGTAACTCATATGATGCATATTTCACGAATGAGTGAGTAAAATGAATTTGAAGAGAGGAAACCAAAAGGTTATTTGGCGGACGGTATCTGAATTTCAAAGAGAAATTCACATTTCCAGAAAGTTGGGTTTCTGTTCTTTCATATGACACCTCAATCAGGAAAAATGGGCTAGGAATAACAAAGTTCTGTTTGGCTAAAGTAGTGCTTCATTAAAACGAATTCGTTTTCACTAGCTGCCTGCCGTAGCAACAAAATGAATGTAAAAAACACTTAACTCCGTTTCGTTGACAATCAGCCGTAGACGAAAGAATAAGTTATGATAAAACATCGATAATTCTCGGTTTCGTTTTTTCTCGGACGCACTTTATAGTATTCTGCTGTAGCTACACAATACAAAACGCTTTACGCCAAGGCCCCATAAAGGGGGAGCAGGCAAAGGCCCGACCGGCGCGCTAGACAAATAGCACAATTACATTATAGTATTAATGACTGCTTTGAGAGAAATAGTTGTTTTTATACGCTCAAGGGAAGGTTAGAATTGTGCTATTACCCGAGGCTTCTTGTCCTTCTAATTTTTCTACTTTTTCTTCTCTCCTCTCTTCCTTCTCCTTCCCATTTTACTTCTTCTCTTCCTCCTTCTCATTCTTCTTTTTCTTTTTCTCATTTTCAGTCTTTATCTCCTCCTTCTTCTCGTTCTTCTCGTTCTCCTTTTCCTTCCCATTCTCATTTGTCTTCTCTGCCTCCTTCTCCTATTCTGTTAATCCTGAAAGGGCCATGTGGTCTACCAAACATATTTGTATGTATACAGTACATATGGTAGATTATCAGTTGCCAAGCAGGTACTGTACACTATTAACTTTTATAAATTCTTTTCTAAATGTTTAACCTCACTTCAAATATCTCATCTGTGAAAAGGGCCAACTTTTGCAAATAACTTTAAGCAAAATGTGAGAAATGCTCATAATTATTTGATTCTCTTTATAAAGTTCATGAATTGTGTTATGAGTCACAGACTCTGCATTGAAAGATTTTTTTTAAATGAAAAAACACGAAGATGACTTTCAGAGCTTAAAAGGAAAGCAAACAGTTTTCTTTCTTAAGAAGTGCAATGTACATCGAGCTGAGATATCAATGCAAATATACATGTATATTTCAATGGATTGTTCTTGAAAAAAGGGTGATAATCTGATAGCTTGTTCATACATGACCTCTTAAAACGGGCTAAAATACAACCCATCCTGGTAATAAGATACAATTTTATGTCAATGAATGGAAAGTGTAATTCAGTAGCATCCAACGAATAGCCTTATTCCTAATCACTAACTTGGAAGTAGTAAAATACTGCAATGTGAAGTATACATACCTCACTTATTTAAATCTGATTTCATTTACACTGCCATTTCAAATTTCTCTTTTTTTGTAGGGGGGGGGGGGAAGGAGGGACTGGCTTATTGCATCAATTGTGAACAAAGCCTTGGTCATTTACCTGTAGTCTTTAAAGGTTAACCTAGTGCAAGGCACTATTGTACCACAAGTATATATTCCCTGTATAGTTCTCTTTATATGTAAACTCTAATATCTACATGTACATGTATGTGACTCAAAAACCTGCACGACTGTAAAGATTTTACCTAAACTGTTTATTGCCCTATCAATTAAGGTCAGTTTTGTTATTGCCGATAAACAATTAGCACTCCCATCTTAAAGACTTGAAGATTTCGTCCGATAGCATTTTGACCTTCCCTAGCCCTTTACCCTATCAAACTCTGATTTGTTCTCCGTATCGAAAAAGCTGATTGTTACAATCTGACTATATCGGCCATCACTTGCGCTATCATTTCTTTCATTTTTATCGTTGTCTGATAATGATGGGGATGGCTGAATTTGTATTTGGATAAGCCTTCACTTCAGGAAGCTGCAGATACTGTAATTTTTTAGCCAGGTACGAGGGCTCAAATTTATGCAGATATGGCATAAATTCAGACGAACAGACTAGAGGAGTAGAGCTTCTTTATTTACATTAAGGTTAATGATTAACATTGATTCAATTGTGGGGGCTCTTGATGTAGCCTTGCTACAAGGCTTTGCATCTCAGTTAGAATTCATGGGTGCAATGAACAGGTTATGCTGAACACAATTTGTTGCAGAGGAATTATTAATTGTATTCTTAAAATCTTAAAAAGCAATATGGAATAAAATACATCTCTCTCTCTACCTAGCATGTACAGTAAAACCTGTCTTAGTGGCCACCTCTCTATAAAGGCCACCTGTCTATAGTGGCCAAGTTTTTTGTCTCCCTCTGGAGAGAAATGTGTGTTTAAGAACCTGTCTGGAAAGACCACAGGTCTACAAAGACGGCCAGAAGCAGCTTTTCTGTCTCCCTTGAGTTGTCTTTATAAAAAGATTTATAACAGTCTGATTGCTCTGTTGGGAGTATTCATAATCTATAGTTCTATAGATCAATTGTGTTTTTGAAGGAATAGTAGTTGAACCACGAGTGTATTTACCAGGCACTGATTTTATTTGATGGTGGCTTGATGAGAGGCTAGCTTTGTCCTTTGACCTATATTTATCAGAGTGTTGTATCTTGAGTAAACCAAGGTATATGTTTGATTTGTCTTCTTCTGTAATATGATAGGTATGAATCAATGTATGTAGTTGAACTCTGGGCACTGTGTGTTTTACTACTCGTATTATACATGATAGAAAGATTGGGCGTAACAGTGTGTAGTGGTAGAGTATTACAGTATATACTGAACACACCTCTTTTTCCCTCTCCATATTTGAAAGATCACATGCAGGCCGTTAATGGCGAGTTTATGTGAAGCTTGAAAAATTGTATAGGCTCCAATTATGATATGGCTACATGTGTTAAACATGCTGACATACTGCACACACCTCTTTTCCTCTCTCCATATCTTTTAATTTCGTTTATTTCTATTTCCAACAAAATAAAATAAGATACATGTACATGTACGATCATACAGCTTGTTTTTCATAATTCCTATCTTTGCCTACCAACAAAATTATCAAATGTCACATAAGTTTATTTGTCCTATTTATATTTCCTACACAGGTAAAAATCTTATATTTGAGAAACCTTATGCTACATGTACATGGTGTATACACAACAGAAAATAACATTGATCAAAGATTTAACAAATTAAAATGCAGCATAGTTCAGATTTTCAGTAATCATACTCAGAATTAAGATAGTTCTATACAATTATCATTTACGGTAGTTTATTTATCATAATTCCTATCTTTGCCTAACAACAAAAGTACAAAACTCTTATGCATTTTTGTCCAATTTGTATTTCCTTATACAGGTAAAAATCTTACATGTGAGAAACCTTATGCTGCACACAGCAGAAAAGACCATTGCCAAAGAGTTAATAACATTTAATGCAGCATAGAAGAATTTTCATTTATCGTACTCTGAGTTTATAGTACATGTACATGTACATGTAGATCTATGAAATTATCATGTGTTCATTTTCATTCGCATATAAAAAAAATCATGTCTTATGCATATTTGTCCTATTTGTTATTTCCTTATACAGGTCAAGATCTTATACGTGAGAAACCTTATGCTGCACACCACTGAGGAGACCATTGCCAAAGAGTTCAATGCGTTCAAGGAAGGCAGTGTGGAGAGGGTTAAGAAGCTCAGAGACTTTGCCTTCATTCATTTCTTCACCAGAGAGGATGCCCTCAACGCCATGAATGCAATGGACGGTAAGAACTTTCTCAAACTTTTAATATCCTGAAACACTTTTAGATATTCTTTTGCAACATGAGATATATGCTATCAGCTTTAAAATAATAATAATAATAATATTGGATATTTATATAGCGCACATATCCACCCTGTAAGGTGCTCAAAGCGCTCCAATATTACCCCGGCTCTGCTAGGCTACAGATTTTGGTGCTCACAGGGGTAATATATTATTTGTGAAGCTAATTCTAAGTTTTCAACGATCCCTTTCTCCTGTGTTCTTTTGAAAAGCAGTCATTTAAAGGCTGATTTGTAAATCGCATTATGATTCAATCAACTTTAAATCAAGCTCATGAAACTGAGGGCAAGCTTTACTTTTTTTTGTACCAACTGAAATATTACTCACAATTATTTTCCTGTTCAAATAGTCAAGAAATAGTTTTAAAATGATTGAAAAAACAGCACAGAATTATATTTTTTGGGATGGACTATTTTCAGCAAAGTACTAATTTATTTTTTTATCTATCTTTTGTTCTAAATCCTTAACCTAAAGATATGTTCCTTTTTGTGGGGTGGGGGGGGGTTCTTTTTGTTCTTTCTACATAAAGAAAGTAACAGGAGAATTTTTTTTTCTTTCTGAGAAATAACATTATAATGACAAGGATTTTTTTTGCTAATTTTCACATGTGAAAAACATCTAAGTTATTACTCAAACTCAACTTAGAATATGCAAACCCAATTGAATTGTACTCAAACTCTTCTCCATCTCCTAAATACAGATGCCTTACTCGATGGTGCTAAGATCGAGGTTGTTCTAGCCAAGCCTGTAGACAAAGGCAACTACGTCCGGTACACCCGTGGAGCAGGGCGGGGCTACGTCCAGCAGGGTCTCTATGGTTACGAGCAGCAGCAGCAGCAGCAATCGAGCCCCTCTTACTATCCAGGTTACAGCAATCCAACTGGAATGCCACCAATGTAAGTTTAATACAGTATCCTCACTTTGGCAGTTAAGGTCCTCACTTTCAGTAAAAAGGTTATTTAAAAAGTGTAATTTGGTATTAAACAGCAACAACTGACCAAAGCTGTTTTGGTTGGTGTAGGCAGGCTGCAATATACATGTAGGTTACCTACCTGTATTAGGCAGGCTGCAATATACATGTAGGTTACCAAAATTCTGCTTTCTTACAAGGGATGGGCTGGGTCTAATATGGGCTCTGTGTAAAGCAAGTTTTACACATTTAATCTGGTTTGATGTTATGGTTTCTTAAAGCCCCACTGCACTTCTTATAGCTAATTGCGCCCTCTATACAGCCAACAATGCTTAAGCGGTACCCATTGATCCCCCATGATCCTTTTTTTCTTATGTTAATTGAGAGCTGATTTGATGAGATAAACACCTGCCAGTGACATTGCAGGGAGGTCTAATCCCTCCATGCCAAACTAATGCAGAGGGGCTTTAAGTGGGATGGTTTCACCGGTCTGAGACGGTAACAGAGGTTAGGGTGACTGTCTAGGTGGCGCTATTGAAACCCTACTCCCTAAATTGAGCATGAGCCAGGTCACTCTAGATAGAGGTAGTATGTAATGTCATCCACTTGTATCTAAAGTCATCTGATATTTTTGTTTCCTTGGATGGGTATGGGTGGAAGGGGCGCCGGTAGGATGCAACGTTCACCGATCCAAGGTGGTACCGAAGGTCATGGTGGCGATCATCCGTGGTGCCTGTGGAGCCCTTTAAACTGTAATAAATTTACATGTATGCCCTCTAGCAATTGTAACCAGAGCATGCATTGAATCGCCCTAACAATATTTGCCATTTTTTATATCTCCTAGGATGGGAATGGGCGGCGGTAGAGGCGGCGGTATGATGCAACGCTCACCGATCCGTGGCGGTACCAGAGGTCGTGGCGGCGGCGGTGGTATGCGTGGTGCCGGTGGAACCAGAAGCTACGGCATGGGACGAGGATACAACCGATACGACAGGAAACCTCAGGAGGTACAAATTTAAAGATTCTTTAATTTCTTTTTTCAGAAACTCGCTTTCATACAAAATTACTTGAACCCATTGGCCCATATTCTAATAAAATGTAAGCTTTTTTCAAAAATTTGGTTTTACAAAGGAAGTTATTCTGAGCTCTATGTTTTCCTATTGTTAAACGTGATGGGTTGAATTGAACTGGTATAGTACGGACCATAGAGTACTAATAAAGCCTTATCTAACTTATTGAGATAATAGTTTTGATTATGAAATTATAACTAACAGGCAGACTGCCACAGGGGGTAAACGCACTTTTGCTTTCAGGTCAACCAACAAACTTTGAATTTAGGTAGCTAATCGATATGTTATGACACTAAAATGCGAAATGCGAAATTCATAATTGTTGAAAATGGAAAATTTTATCAGACAGATATTACCACAAAGTTAAGATATGGAGCTGGTAAATGCATGTACGAGGCTTAATTCTGCAAAAAAAATGTTGCCTAAAAATCATTCGGATTCGTGAAGAACAAAAATTTAATTCACAAATATCACTAACCCTTGAGCCTTTTGCGTCTTTTCAAATTCCTTTGATTTGTTCAAAATCTTAACTAACAATATTATTTTGCAAAAGTGTTTTTTTTATTGGTTCTTTTGTTCATGAAGGTCGGCTAATTAGATTAACATCCCTTTATTTTTGTTTCGACTAAACAGGACTCCTGTTGTTAGACAAGTCAATTCGCTGTGTCTAACACTAATTAAATGAAACAAAAAAAAATTGGTGGTTTGCTTCGTTCACTGATAAGAAATGAAAATGCTTCAATAGCTTGTCCTGGTCAGAGTGTGATATCGTAAATTTATTTATAGGTCAATAACATTTCAATTTTACTAATATTTTTCTGGTATTTCTTTTTCTTTGTTTAAATTTATTCCTCTAACTATCCCTCCTGCTCCAGCCACGCCTGTTCGACCTCCTACCCGGAATGGAATTGACCCCAACCAACCCAGTAACTATTAAACCAGAGAAAAATAACATTCAGGTATACTAACATGTGGTTGAACCCTTGCTTTCTTTGGGTGCATTTTTTGAACAATTTTCTTTTTTAAAATCACAATACTGTTTTTCTTTTCATATGTTCATATGCCGTCTGTTTCAATTTTTCAATTTTGTACCTGCTTTTACATGCATGTTGTGATTGTGATTACCTTTATATGCAGAAACATGCATTTTACTTTTACAGAGGTCATCTGTGGTTCATTTCATTCAACTCATCATCGTTAGTGCCTGATGTCATGCCTCAACTCTCATTATTATGTATTCACAATTTTTCTTTCAGACCTTCCTCATCTTCATTGCTTCCCACGTTTTAACCTATAGTACGCCATTATCACCAGTAGTGCCTGATATCGTATCATAACTTTTATCAATGTATTCACTATTTTTCTTTCAGACCATCCTCATCCCTCTTCATTGCTTTTCAGCTTATGAATGTTGTCATCCTTTTGATTATCCATTCATTTACTTATTAACAAACTTACCCTTTTATCTTGTAACCTACATGTAGAGTACATTATTATCACCAGTAATCACTCATTTTGCTCATATATTATATATATTGAAGAAATTCATGTTAGGGTCTTACATGTATAGATTTCTTGTAAATCTGATATACAGTTTTGTACATGTAAATGCTGTTGTACAGATAAAGTATACCATTTTTCAAAGATCTAAACATTTTCCTCACTTCATCCTGCCTAATTCCTTGAAAAGAAACAAAAAACTTGGTACCAACACTAATATATATTCCGCTTTTATATACAATGTAGCTCTCAATACATAAACGATGTCTCTAGGCGCTTTGCAGATATACTAAATTATTATTAAACACCATGGTTGCAATTGATGCTTTCATGTAAATCACCTGAATAGTTCAAAAACTATAAAGCCTAGTTTTAACGTTTTGTGCAAGTAGAGTGGCGTTTTAACCCCCAAACGAAGGAATCAGTGGTTTCATATCTACTGTAGATCATTTTTGTGTATTCTAGAATCGGCCTTTGGTGTCAACGTTTAAAATTAAAACCATTTGGAGATGTGTTGATACTGAGTGTGGTATGCTTGTGTAGCTTATAACAAAAACTGTCAATTGACAAGTTTTGTAAAACACGCCCAGGGCTCTCTGGAAGAGCAGATCCAGAAATGGACTTGTAATAAGACTACCCTGCGTACATAAAACTGAAAGCAATCAACAAATCACTCGACGATTCAATTAATCTTGGTGTTCAGTTGAGACTGATGATGTGGTGTTTACCAGGTATAACATTCTGATTGATGTTTTTAGGTCTTGGAGGAGCTTTGCAATAAGAACCAATGGGGCCCACCCAGCTTCACTCCCCTCTCTCACCGTACCAACAGTGAAGTCCAGCTCTTCATCTATAAGGTAAGACCAATATTTTTATTTTGTGACACTCGTGAAGAGACTAATTGAGAGCCCGCTCCGTACATGTGCTATGCACTCATTATTGCTCCTTTGCCATTTTGAGAGAGTATAGCTCTCTCATGCAACTTTAACATTTTTTTTCTTCCTGCGAGTTATCTCACTCGACTGTTATTTTATTTTGACGTTTTTTTTCATTGGGATCCATAAAGTAAGACAAATAAAAAAATTAAAAAAATGAATACATTTAGCAATTCTCCACTGATCGTCATTTTATAAAACCAATAACATTGCCTGTTTGGATGTGTCGATGTGCTTGTAGTGGTGATATTTGTCCTCTTAGATATGTTGTCAGTAATGACAGTACCATGTCTCGTGGCTAACTGCCTGATGGCCTCACACCCCAGTAGTCTTGCCAGGCCCGCAACCAGGCAAAGAATTTAGCTATCATTCAATCAATCACTCAGTCTTTCCGTGTGTATGCTCTAGCTTTCTAGATCATCTTATCAAAGGTGACAATGAATTCACCAACTGTTCTATGTGAATGTTCCTCTCCTCTCTGCTTTAGATGACTGTTCCAGGTCTAGGTCTAATAGCCAACTATCCCAAAAGCCTCACACCCCAGAAGTCTTGCCAGACGCCTGTCCAGGTCGAGAACCTTATCACCAATAAATAAATCAATCAATCTTTCCATGAGTTTGTTCTACTACAACCGTCTCATCAAAAGTGGCCGTAGTTAAAACAATTTATCTATGTTCCTCCCCTCTCTTCTTTAGGTGACTGTTCCAGGTCTATCAGCCAACTATCCCGATGGCCTTACGCCCCAGAAGCTTCACCAGACCCCAGACCAGGCTAAGAACTTTGCCGCTGAGTGCCTGCTGGCTTCCCTCGGGGTTCCAGTCGATGGTAAGAGGTACACGTATGTCGATCCATCTGGATTTTTTTTTGGCAAGGGGGGGGGGGAGGGGAGCAATCAAGGGGGGTGTTTCACAAAGATCCTAAGTTGAACTTATCTCTAAGTTGGACTTAACAGTTATGGAAAGCCATTAGCATCTTTGAAAATATTTTGTAAAAGTTATTTAAAAGGCATAACATTTTGATTCAAATCATTCATATTTTCTATTATCATGGGAGATTTCATGTTCTTGGTGTAGAATTTATGAAAAGTCTAAAATACTTAAATTTTTGCTTTTGAATATATTTTACTTTAAGGCTACACATGGCTGTCAATAATTTTCAAGTCCAACTTAGACTTAAGTTTGACTTAAAATCTTTGTGAAACACCCCCAGGAGTCTAATTTAACACATTGACTACTGAATTATCTAGTTACCATAGGCTTAACACATGTACCACCTGGTTCCAGTAAGCAAAGGGTTAATAATATAGTACAACAAAATCTGCTTTAGTAACCATCTGGACAGAGAAACCACTCAAAATAAGAGCAACCTTTTTCCCCCTTGAAAACTGTTTCCCATTGAAACTTGTACTTTAAAGTACCCTTTAAAGCCCGTCTGCACTAGTTTGGCCAGGAGGAATTAGACCACCCAGCGTGGTCACTGACAGGTGGTTACCTCATCAAATCAGCTCTCAATTAACATAAGAAAAAGGGATGTGGGGCTAGTGGTCACCAGTTAGGCATTGTTTGCTATATAGAGGGCACAAGAAGCTATAAGTATTGCAGAGGGGCTTTAAAAGTCTCTGCTCATCATAAAGACTGCTTTGTTTTGGGGTCTCCTTTTAGTTGTACTATATGTGTATTGTGGTTGTGTCTGTATTAAATTATGAAGAACAAAAAAAACAGGCTACATGTAGGTCATTGAAAATGCTGTTCATATAACTAAAGGCGTTCATATGAAATAGCACACTCTTTCTGTACATTTTGTGTAAAATGGCAACATGAATTCCAATACCGATTGCGTTGTTTCTATTGTCTTACATTGCGTGCATACTGTAGGTGAGCTGTAATAGAGAGGGCCATAGATCAATGTAAGACTTGTTTTGTCATTCATCTAAATATCCCCTAATTACACCCCCTCCCCCTTGCCCCTTCCTTGAAAATGGTATAGAAAACTTGTAGCACATGTATCTATTGCAAATTCAGTTAATAATAACTGATAGAAATTCTGTTCACGATCATATCATTTCACCATGTGCTTTTAATCCATTTTAAATTGCAAAGTGGTTTTCTGTTTCATGGCAACACATATTCATGTCAGGAATAAAACATGCAAATCTGAGAAATTATTCAGTGTAATTTCTGATGCAAGCTTGAATAACAGTTCCCCCTCCCCCCTCCCACCCGAAAAAAAAAAAATCACTGAACAGCTTGAAACCATATAGATTGTTAGAATCACAGGAAAGTTAACATAGTAAAGTAGTATTTGTAGTCTATTGTCATTTTTTTTTAGTATATGGGCAACATTGCACCTTTTTATTAATCAATCTCCTTTTCATTCTTGTAATCCATATACATTTATTGTATCCATGATAATCGATTGTAATGTTCCTGTATGTTAACCATTCTTGCTCATGTAATGAACATTATAAAGTGCTGATATATTACCTTTGCCACCTGCTTTCGCCAATTTACCGGACATTCTGCTCTTTCATTTGTATCTGAACAAGGCTTACTCATATTTTACATCATTTACCTTCTCTTTTATTCATTATTTGCTACTAGTCATTTGCTATCCTTTTTTTTATCCTTAATTTTTTCATTCGCCTTTGCTTCATTCTTTGCTTGTACGTAGATCAAAAGTTTAAACATTTTAATTATCTTTAATTTCGAATGTAATCTTCTGGAAATATTTAATGGAAACACATTACATGTACATGTTTGTGTATTAAAATAAAATATTAATTCTTCGTTTGAATAGAAATGGGTACTTGATGAAAAAAATGGTGGACTCAAAAGTAAGTTTCATGATCATCCTTTGAAGGACAAAAATGGACACTGTGGGGTTGGAAAGATATGAATCTTTATGTTTTCTTTCTTTTTCTTTTTCTCTTCTCTTCTCTTCTCTTCGATTTGATTTGACCAGAGTTCAAATATGAGCTTTTTAATAACATTTTAGTCTTGGCTTTTTTTCACCTTCTATCTTAAAGGCACACTGTCCTACTTATAGCTACTTACTCTCTCTATATAGAAAACTTCCCCAATCGGTGCCTGTTGGTCCCCCATGATCCTCTTTTTCTTATGTTAAATGAGAGCTGAGTTAATGAGATAGCCACCTGTCACAGTGACCTCGCTGGCTCGCTGGGTGGTCTAATCCCTTCTGGCTGTAGTAGTAAAGTCTGCCTTTAATACTTTCTTTTTTTCGGCGGTGGTATGCGTGGTGCCGGTGGAACCAGAAGCTACGGCATGGGACGAGGATACAACCGATACGTCAGGAAACCTCAGGAGGTACAAATTTAAGGATTCTTTAATTTCTTTTTTCAGAAACTCGCTTTCATACAAAATTACTTGAACCCATTGGCCCATATTCTAATAAAATGTAAGCTTTTTTCAAAAATTTGGTTTTACAAAGGAAGTTATTCTGAGCTCTATGTTTTCCTATTGTTAAACGTGATGGGTTGAATTGAACTGGTATAGTACGGACCATAGAGTACTAATAAAGCCTTATCTAACTTATTGAGATAATAGTTTTGATTATGAAATTATAACTAACAGGCAGACTGCCAGAGGGGGTTAACGCACTTTTGCTTTCAGGTCAACCAACAAACTTTGAATTTAGGTAGCTAATCGATATGTTATGACACTAAAATGCGAAATGCGAAATTCATAATTGTTGAAGATGGAAAATTTTATCAGACAGATATTACCACAAAGTTAAGATATGGAGCTGGTAAATGCATGTACGAGGCTTAATTCTGCAAAAAAAATGTTGCCTAAAAATCATTCGGATTCGTGAAGAACAAAAATTTAATTCACAAATATCACTAACCCTTGAGCCTTTTGCGTCTTTTCAAATTCCTTTGATTTGTTCAAAATCTTAACTAACAATATTATTTTGCAAAAGTGTTTTTTTTATTGGTTCTTTTGTTCATGAAGGTCGGCTAATAAGATTAACATCCCTTTATTTTTGTTTCGACTAAACAGGACTCCTGTTGTTAGACAATTCAATTCGCTGTGTCTAACACTAATTAAATGAAACAAAAAAACATTGGTGGTTTGCTTCGTTCACTGATAAGTAAATGAAAATGCTTCAATAGCTTGTCCTGGTCAGAGTGTGATATCGTAAATTTATTTATAGGTCAATAACATTTCAATTTTACTAATATTTTTCTGGTATTTCTTTTTCTTTGTTTAAATTTATTCCTCTAACTATCCCTCCTGCTCCAGCCACGCCTGTTCGACCTCCTACCCGGAATGGAATCGACCCCAACCAACCCAGTAACTCTTAAACCAGAGAAAAATAACATTCAGGTATACTAACATGTGGTTGAACCCTTGCTTTCTTTGGGTGCATTTTTTGAACAATTTTCTTTTTTAAAATCACAATACTGTTTTTCTTTTCATATGTTCATATGCCGTCTGTTTCAATTTTTCAATTTTGTACCTGCTTTTACATGCATGTTGTGATTGTGATTACCTTTACATGCAGAAACATGCATTTTACTTTTACAGAGGTCATCTGTGGTTCATTTCATTCAACTCATCATCGTTAGTGCCTGATGTCATGCCTCAACTCTCATTATTATGTATTCACAATTTTTCTTTCAGACCTTCCTCATCTTCATTGCTTCCCACGTTTTAACCTATAGTACGCCATTATCACCAGTAGTGCCTGATATCGTATCATAACTTTTATCAATGTATTCACTATTTTTCTTTCAGACCATCCTCATCCCTCTTCATTGCTTTTCAGCTTATGAATGTTGTCATCCTTTTGATTATCCATTCATTTACTTATTAACAAACTTACCCTTTTATCTTGTAACCTACATGTAGAGTACATTATTATCACCAGTAATCACTCATTTTGCTCATATATGATATATATTGAAGAAATTCATGTTAGGGTCTTACATGTACATTATAAATAGAGTTCTTGTAAATCTGATATACTGTTTTGTACATGTATATGTAAATGCTGTTGTACAGATAAAGTATACCATTTTTCAAAGATCTAAACATTTTCTTCACTTCATCCTGCCTAATTCCTTGAAAAGAAACAAAAAACTTGGTACCAACACTAATATATATTCCGCTTTTATATACAATGTAGCTCTCAATACATAAACGATGTCTCTAGGCGCTTTGCAGATATACAAAATTATTATTAAACACCATGGTTGCAATTGATGCTTTCGTGTAAATCACCTGAATAGTTCAAAAACTATAAAGCCTAGTTTTAACGTTTTGTGCAAGTAGAGTGGCGTTTTAACCCCCAAACGAAGGAATCAGTGGTTTCATATCTACTGTAGATCATTTTTGTGTATTCTAGAATCGGCCTTTGGTGTCAACGTTTAAAATTAAAACCATTTGGAGATGTGTTGATACTGAGTGTGGTATGCTTGTGTAGCTTATAACAAAAACTGTCAATTGACAAGTTTTGTAAAACACGCCCAGGGCTCTCTGGAAGAGCAGATCCAGACATGGACTTGTAATAAGACTACCCTGCGTACATAAAACTGAAAGCAATCAACAAATCACTCGACGATTCAATTAATCTTGGTGTTCAGTTGAGACTGATGATGTGGTGTTTACCAGGTATAACATTCTGATTGATGTTTTTAGGTCTTGGAGGAGCTTTGCAATAAGAACCAATGGGGCCCACCCAGCTTCACTCCCCTCTCTCACCGTACCAACAGTGAAGTCCAGCTCTTCATCTATAAGGTAAGACCAATAATTTTATTTTGTGACACTCGTGAAGAGACTAATTGAGAGCCCGCTCCGTACATGTGCTATGCACTCATTATTGCTCCTTTGCCATTTTGAGAGAGTATAGCTCTCTCATGCAACTTTAACATTTTTTTTCTTCCTGCGAGTTATCTCACTCGACTGTTATGTTATTTTGACGTTTTTTTTTCATTGGGATCTATAAAGTAAGACAAATAAAAAAAAAATTAAAAAAAATACATTTAGCAATTCTCCACTGATCGTCATTTTATAAAACCAATAACATTGCCTGTTTGGATGTGTCGATGTGCATGTAGTGGTGATATTTGTCCTCTTAGATATGTTGTCAGTAATGACAGTACCATGTCTCGTGGCTAACTGCCTGATGGCCTCACACCCCAGTAGTCTTGCCAGGCCCGCAACCAGGCAAAGAATTTAGCTATCATTCAATCAATCACTCAGTCTTTCCGTGTGTATGCTCTAGCTTTCTAGATCATCTTATCAAAGGTGACAATGAATTCACCAACTGTTCTATGTGAATGTTCCTCTCCTCTCTGCTTTAGATGACTGTTCCAGGTCTAGGTCTAATAGCCAACTATCCCAAAAGCCTCACACCCCAGAAGTCTTGCCAGACGCCTGTCCAGGTCGAGAACCTTATCACCAATAAATAAATCAATCAATCTTTCCATGAGTTTGTTCTACTACAACCGTCTCATCAAAGGTGGCCGTAGTTAAAACAATTTCTCTACGTTCCTCCCCTCTCTTCTTTAGGTGACTGTTCCAGGTCTATCAGCCAACTATCCCGATGGCCTTACGCCCCAGAAGCTTTGCCAGACCCCGGACCAGGCTAAGAACTTTGCCGCTGAGTGCCTGCTGGCTTCCCTCGGGGTTCCAGTCGATGGTAAGAGGTACACGTATGTCGATCCATCTGGATTTTTTTTTGGCAAGGGGGGGGGGGGGAGGGGAGCAATCAGGGGGGTGTTTCACAAAGATCCTAAGTTGAACTTATCTCTAAGTTGGACTTAACAGTTATGGAAAGCCATTAGCATCTTTGAAAATATTTTGTAAAATTTATTTAAAAGGCATAACATTTTGTTTCAAATCATTCATATTTTCTATTATCATGGGAGATTTCATGTTCTTGGTGTAGAATTTATGAAAAGTCTAAAATACTTTAATTTTTGCTTTTGAATATATTTTACTTTAAGGCTACACATGGCTGTCAATAATTTTCAAGTCCAACTTAGAGTTAAGTTTGACTTAAAATCTTTGTGAAACACCCCCAGGAGTCTAATTTAACACATTGACTACTGAATTATCTAGTTACCATAGGCTTAACACATGTACCACCTGGTTCCAGTAAGCAAAGGGTTAATAATATAGTACAATAAAATCTGCTTTAGTAACCATCTGGACAGAGAAACCACTCAAAATAAAAGCCACCTTTTTCCCCCTTGAAAACTGTTTCACATTGAAACTTGTACTTAAAAGTACCCTTTAAAGCCCGTCTGCACTAGTTTGGCCAGGAGGAATTAGACCACCCAGCGTGGTCACTGACAGGTGGTTACCTCATCAAATCAGCTCTCAATTAACTTAAGAAAAAGGGATGTGGGGCTAGTGGTCACCAGTTAGGCATTGTTTGCTATATAGAGGGCACAAGAAGCTATAAGTATTGCAGAGGGGCTTTAAAAGTCTCTTCTCATCATAAAGACTGCTTTGTTTTGGGGTCTCCTTTTAGTTGTACTATATGTGTATTGTGGTTGTGTCTGTATTAAATTATGAAGAACAAAAAACAGGCTACATGTAGGTCATTGAAAATGCTGTTCATATAACTAAAGGCGTTCATATGAAATAGCACACTCTTTCTGTACATTTTGTGTAAAATGGCAACATGAATTCCAATACCGATTGCGTTGTTTCTATTGTCTTACATTGCGTGCATACTGTAGGTGGGCTGTAATAGAGAGGGCCATAGATCAATGTAAGACTTGTTTTGTCATTCATCTAAATATCCCCTAATTACACCCCCTCCCCCTTGCCCCTTCCTTGAAAATGGTATAGAAAACTTGTAGCACATGTATCTATTGCAAATTCAGTTAATAATAACTGATAGAAATTCTGTTCACGAACATATTATTTCACCATGCGCTTTTAATCCATTTTAAATTGCAAAGTGGTTTTCTGTTTCATGGCAACACATATTCATGTCAGGAATAAAACATGCAAATCTGAGAAATTATTCAGTGTAATTTCTGATGCAAGCTTGAATAACAGTTCCCCCTCCCCCCTGCCACCCGAAAAATAAAAATCACTGAACAGCTTGAAACCATATAGATTGTTAGAATCACAGGAAAGTTAACATAGTAAAGTAGTATTTGTAGTCTATTGTCATTCTTTTTTTAGTATATGGGCAACATTGCACCTTTTTATTGATCAATCTCCTTTTCATTCTTGTAATCCATATACATTTATTGTATCCATGATAATCGATTGTTATGTTCCTGTATGTTAACCATTCTTGCTCATGTAATGAACATTATAAAGTGATGATATATTACCTTTGCCACCTGCTTTCGCCAATTTACCGGACATTCCGCTCTTTCATTTGTATCTGAACAAGGCTTACTCATATTTTACATCACTTACCTTCTCTTTTATTCATTATTTGCTACTAGTCATTTGCTATTCTTTTTTTATCCTTAATTTTTTCATTCGCCTTTGCTTCATTCTTTGCTTGTACGTAGATCAAAAGTTTAAACATTTTAATTATCTTTAATTTCGAATGTAATCTTCTGGAAATATTTAATGGAAACACAGTACATGTACATGTTTGTGTATTAAAATAAAATATTAATTCTTCGTTTGAATAGAAATGGGTACTTGATGAAAAAAATGGTGGACTCAAAAGTAAGTTTCATGATCATCCTTTGAAGGACAAAAATGGACACTGTGGGGTTGGAAAGATATGGATCTTTATGTTTTCTTTCTTTTTCTTTTTCTCTTCTCTTCTCTTCTCTTCGATTTGATTTGATTTGATTTGACCAGAGTTCAAATATGAGCTTTTTAATAACATTTTAGTCTTGGCTTTTTTTCACCTTCTATCTTAAAGGCACACTGTCCTACTTGTAGCTACTTACTCTCTCTATATAGAAAACTTCCCCAATCGGTGCCTGTTGGTCCCCCATGATCCTCTTTTTCTTATGTTAAATGAGAGCTGAGTTAATGAGATAGCCACCTGTCACAGTGACCTCGCTGGCTCGCTGGGTGGTCTAATCCCTTCTGGCTGTAGTAGTAAAGTCTGCCTTTAATACTTCTTTTTATTCAGAAAAATTTACCATGTACATGTTTTCATTTTGTAACTTCTATCTAAATACATGTATGCTTTGCTTTCATACCTCAGTCACACCTAAAAGATCAACACCAGGTCGAACAAAAATGACATGAACCTTAAAGGAAAAAAATCGTTTGGATTATGTCTGGAGTTAGGTCGGCAGTGTGATCATGCTTCTATACATCATGTATACACAGACAATCGCTTCCTTTCCATTGCTTTGCTTCCTCATTTGCATATCTAGGTGACGAGAGCCAATCAGACAGTCCTGTGCAGGGAAGCCCCTCCCATTCACCCTCTCCATACCCCGCCTCCATCCATCATCATCATCAAATTGGCTCACATCATAGCTCTTACCCATCTAGCTCTGTTGTAGTTAGTGCAGGTAGGAATTCACTTTTCACCCCTATTCTATGCTAATGGAAGAGTCCATTGCTATCTTCTCTCATGATATATTGGAATGCTACATTTCTTTTTAGGGGTGTGATAAGTTTTTTGCTAGGCCATCTATATTCTAGCTCTGTTCACTTTTCTCCCCTATTCTGTGCAAATGGGAGATTCCATTGCTATCTTCTCTCATGATATATTGGAATGCTACATTTCATTTTAGGGGTGTGATTAGTTTTTTGTTAGTCCAGATCTACATTCTAGCTCTGTTGTAGTTAGTGCAGGTAGGAATTCATTTTTCTCCCCATTCCGTGCAAATGGGAGATTCCATTGCTATCCTCTCTCATGATTTATTGGAATGCTACATTTCATTTTAGGGGTGTGATTTGTGTTCAGTACATCAAGCTCTATAGTATTTAGTGCAGGTAGAAATTCACTTTTCTCCCCTATTCTATGCAAATGGGAGATTCCGTTGCTATCTTCTCTCATTATATTGGAATGCTACATTTTTATTGTAGGGGTGTAATATTATTTTAGTCAGTCTTTCTTCATCTGTATTGGTGGAGCTTGAATTCAATTTTAACCCCTATTCTCTGTAAAAAGAACATTTCATTGCTATCTTTTCTCATAATATTCTTAAATGCTACATTTCATTTCATTTCTTTTTTGTTTATCTAGCTCTGTAGTCGATGTTTCAAGATCTTTTGTGTCCCTTATTTTATATAGATGACATACCGGTATTCCTATGCTTTTGTCTCTTTAATACATAATGTTGAATGCTACATTTCATATTAGGGGTTCACTTTCTTTTTCTTTGTTTCTTTTTAAAATATTTATTTCATCATGATTTGTAGTTGTTAATGTAGTACAAACGAGAATTCATTTCTCTCAACTCCTTTATTCTAGTAGAAATGATTCCATTGCTCTTTTCGTATTGAAAAGTACATGTGATTTGTTTTTATTAGTACAACAGGTTGCTTTGGTATCGTTTTAAAGTAGCTTGCATGTACAGCAAAACTGATTTTACCTTAAATTCTCCGGCACCAAATTTCTCAAGATTCAAAATTTATTATCCAGAGGTACATGTAAATACCAGTTAAAGGAATGCTATGCACCTCAAATATTATTTATCTCTTCAGATTTCATAGCAAGATTTTCTCATACTACTAATATTAACTCACATCTAAGTTTTATTTTTCAATCATTCCTCATTTTCTACTCAAAAGCAATCATGGAATTTCCCACTCACAAGCACAGCCCCAGACCACAAACCGATTTGAATTTCTTTAGAATGTGACACATTAAAGCTTACATCTAAAAGCATTCAATTATGGCCCTGATTTAACCAGTCCACCTTCTATAAAAAAAAACATGAAAACTGTCAAATGTACAAGGGGTTTGAAAAATATAGTCATTAACTTTATATATTAAAAAAAATACAGTTCAGAGCAAATGTCGGGTCAACATACAGAGTTAATGCCATCTCGCTATCATGTGTTCAGAGTCAGATGAGCCTTAACTCTGTGTGAAAGTATATGAGTTAACGCCCTTTTGGCTCCAAACAGACGATGGTTGTAACTTAGTAGAAGACTGTCATTGCTTTTTGGAACATGCAAGGTGGTTGTGGCTTGTTACTTTCATTTTAAACACTCGATGCTTCCCTCCAGATCTAATCAACTTACACACCCCTATTTCTTCCTCCAGGTGGTGATGCCCACAACAGCTCCTCCCCTCACCCCTACCAGTCAGGCTACCACCAACAGGGAGGTTACACTCATGGAGCAGGGGACATCTACCAGCAGGTCTACCAAGGATGAGGGACCAAACCACGCTGCTAATTCATCCCCTGACGTACTACTACGCACCTCACTATCCTTATCTTTTCCAATTTTTTTCGATCGACTGATGTTTCGTGATTTCTCGATATTTTCCTTTATGTTGTTGTCTGTTGTATAATCTTTCTCATAGATATTTCAAGATAAATCTTTTGTGTTTAGATATTGAGTTTACAATTTATATATCAAAAGTTTGAGTTTTAGTTATTTCATGAAATTTTTGTGTTTAGATAGAGTTTATGATTTTTATCAACTTAATGATTTTTTTTTTCTTCAAACAAGTTTCATATATACAACTCACATTGCCTAGGCAAAAAGCCTTTGAACAAAAGCATGACAAAAGGCAAAAACTACATATTTACATTAAGCAATATGGGGGAGATATATTTTCTGACTAGTTTTATTCAGAATATTGCTCATACATGTAGCTAGAACATTGGTTTCTAGACCAACACCTTTTTTCTGTAATCTGCTTCAGAACACAATGTTAGCAGTCTTTTTCTAACAAAAAAAGGTGTTCATATCCTTCCTATTTTGAGAAAGTTTAGGCATTCTATTGCCGTGAATGACATTCCTACAAGTACAGTGACATTTTTCTTTCTTTGTGATATTGTGCAAAAATATCAGATAAAATGCTTTTTGTGATATTCTGTCTTTCTAAGTTGTCTTTCAAGCTGTTAGAGAAATCTGTGTCTTTCAAAATGACAGATATTTGTTCAGATATAGTTTCTATATAACCCGAGCTTCTTCGAGTTAGAAGTATGTTCTCCTTTTACCCAAAATATTCCTTTGCCAGTCAGTGTACGGTGAAATTGTATAGGTTAAAGACCCATGAAAAAGGATAAGTTTAGGTTTTTAAATATATCGCACATGTGTACTTTCGCCCATTAAAGCACAATAAGAGACAACATTGTCTATTTGACAATAGGAGCTGTTACATCTTTAGTTATGCACAACTTGGATTGGTTTAAAAGCAGTTGTTTTCTTTCTATCACACTTGCGCCCTTTTGCCCGATAAAATCAAGCTGGTCATAGCAATCTGTTTAAGACATCTTAACTAAAATACTTTATTGCTAAAATTGATCGAAGAAAAGCCAATTTTTTGTTTTCTTTTGTTCATTTAAACAGAAAATGATACATTGTTTAACATTTCATCGATGATAAAATAGATTATTCATCCAAGATCACCTTCATGACATTTGCTTGCAATTATATTTTCATAATTTGCTTTATGTATTTAGACTTCAGATCATGATGTAATGCAGATGAAAGCTATACCTTCTATTTGCTTATTTTCATGAAATTCATCAAGCATAAAACTGCGAGAACACTTGAAAAGCCCAGGAAAACACATTTAAATCGTTTCTTTTGAATAAGTTGCACTTTGATAAAACAGGTCAGAGAAAGAATGAATTTAAAAAAAGAGATGTGTAAAAAGAGTTATTTTTGGTGTTATTTAATAAACATATCTATGCACTGTTTGATTCACCCTATTTTTCTCTATTTAACAAAAACCAATTGAAAATGTTTCCAAAACTGAAAACAATCCCAACTCTCACCAATTTGGGAGTTTTTACCTGTTTAATAGTACAGTTCGTGTTGATAATTAAAAGTTATAAAGCATCAATGAGGTGAATTTCACAAGTTTTATTGCGGTTTTAATTAGAGAGCATTTTCAAGTGTTCGTGTTTTATCTGGAAATTCAGCAGCTAAGGTTTTATCATCATGTAGATAGCGTTCTGATGTACTTTTAATGTAGTCCTAAGTCATATTTTATCATTCCTTTAATTCTTCTTTTATTCTACTTAAGCAGAGTTTTCAATTTGTTGAACGAATTGAACAACTTAGATTTTAAAGAAAATTCATTGATGTACATATATCGCACTCATTGTCATCTACATGTATATTAATGTTTCGGTGTTTTGCCCATAGCCCAAATTTATTGATAGATCTTTCACAGCATAATTCTGTGTTTCTAAAGTTTAAAGAAATCATTAGATATCCAGTTTAAGTCACAAGTAAACCATTTGACCCTTCGCTAATAAAAATCATTCCCTGAAGATACTTTAGAAAAATTGAAAGTTTTGTTGTTGTTTACTCTTGCCTTTTGTAAAGACAGAAGAAATTGAACAAAATTTAGGATGAATTCAGTGTAAATGAAGATTAATTTAAGGTTGAAAAGTTTGGTATGAATTTTTTTAAGACCCAATATTAAAGTAATAGCAGAATCTATTTATTCATGTTATTAAGTGCCTTTTAATGAGATATACGTGCCATATCATATGAGGAGGAAAAAGGGTCCTTAGTTACTGCCTTATTGTATGAAACAATTAAACAATGTGTTTAAAAAGTTTGCAGTAATTAGCACAGCAAATTTCAAGAGCAGAGTTGAGAAAAGACCAACTTTTGTTTTGTTTATGGTACTTCAAAATAGCAACAGATTGAGTTTATCAAACAATGGTTCTGTGTTTTTTTTCCCTTGTAACATTGGTAACATTGGTGTGTCTATTTGAACGGGTTTGATATTTGCCAAAAATGTACACTGTGTGTGTTTTATACAGTACTCGCCTCAAACGCTCTCTTTCTCCACCAACTTAAGGAGAAAAGATGCTGTATATGCCCTTTTGTATTCAAGTTGGACAGTTTTTGTATTCAGGTTTGCAATCGGCTTTCAGCTGCCAAATTACGCATAGCATTATTTGTAAACCTAGCTTTTTCAGAAAAGATCTAAACCACCGGAGAGTTAATTCATTATTATACAACGTCCATTTGAGGAGGTTGGATATGGAATTCCTATAAACATCAGGATGCCGTCCCTGTGTATTGCAATTAAGAAATCTATTTCAGGCTTTGCAATATCTTCTAGACTCGAGTTTGAACAAAAAAGAATTTGTTAGTTTCCAATCTGATGTGGGATATTCTGATGCATTGTGGAGAGGAAGCCAGTACGCAGACAAACAGACATAACTACAAATCATAAACTCCTGCTACATGTTCTTAGAAATACCCTATCTGGCAAGTACCTAACTCAAATCATATGTTGACAGCTTAAAAGAGCATCATTTTGATGTGGTAGTTAATGCCATTTTCACTATCAGCAGATAATTAATACTCACCTGTTGCAGCCCTGTAATATTATTAAAATGTGATGAATTTAACCCAAAATTAATCAAGTCTGACTATTTGTTTATAACCCATTGACTTCCTCTAAGAAAGTAATTACTTTTTCAGTAACAGAACAATTTTAAAGTCAAAGTTGAATTCCCTTTATCAATTAATTCCATGTAATGTAAGACTTTTAAATGTTAAGTAAAACAAAAAAATCACCAGTTTGCAAACTATTCATCGTAGAAATGTATGTGTTATAATCCATCATTTTCATCATTTTAGGAAAATTAATTTGTGTAGCCTGCAGTGCCCGCACGTGGACATGTATTATGTTAAGTATATATCTTACTTTAAGGTTGTATTTTAAGAACAAAGAGCTTATATATGTGTATATTTACAGAGAAGTTTTAAACACACAATGTTCGATAAGTCCCTGGTCTTCATTTGCAATTACACAATCCATTGATGATGTTGCGTATGTTCTCTTTCATTTTGCCGTGTTCTGAAAATTGATGTAAATTTTGGCTCAGATTTCCGAAGGACGAGACCAGGGACTTATAACACAGTACAGGCCTAACTGGTCATATTGTCAAAAGAAATATTGTTTATTTTTTTTAATATGGTTCTAAGAACCTTTTTTATATGTTTTATTTTATACCGTTGCACGAACCCCACCTACATGCGTCAACCGAAAGACGACAGAAAAATGAGAGAATATTTCTCAGGTCTATTTTTGTACTTTTTGTACAGCAATTCTAGCCAGAGTTAAAACAAAATCAGAATTTAAATACCTACAATCACTAGCTGGTATTATAAAGCCATGGAAATTTTCATAGCATTTAATGCATTATATAGCTTCACTGCACAAAACAGACAGACAAACCAGACAGACAGACAGACAAAACAGACAATTCTGAATAGCCTTAAAGGTTTTGAATGGAGAGCCGTGAATGGTTGATTGTAGTTGGACAGGTAGTGGCTTAGCCAATCGAATTGCTTGTGAGATGCTAGTAGCTGTGTAGCCACCAAGTGAGTAAAGGTGGACCGTGATTGGCTGATTGCCAGAGTTAGACCCACCAATCCCAAAGCTTGACTTACATTCCATGAAAAGCTGCCAAGGCTGAAAGGTGCTTTCTGATTGGCTGTGTCTGAGAGGAGTTTTCCATTCTTCGCACACGACACTAAAAGAGTACCCTCTCTCTATATGCCACTAAGTATTATTTTCCATTGCAATGCAATATCTACTTGGGGCTATATATTATGGTAGCCTCAATGTAACAGAATATGCAGGAAAAGAGGAAAGAAAAGTTGCTTTTTGATGATCAGAATATTGCATGAAAATCAGAGAGTAGTTATTATGAACCTAAGATCAGAAACAGCTAAACATACCAAAGAATTTTACAAGTGCCAGTTGACCGAAAGGCATTTTATCTTTCGTTTTTTTTAATATGTCACAAGAATATGTATTTTTGAGTGTAATGTTTTTTTTCTATAATGTGCACAGAGTTTCAAGAATCGCAAAAAGGACATTATTTTCTTTCCATCTTACTCGTATGGGTTTCAATAGTACATGTATCCAGAGTTTTATCAATTGAATGATGTTTTACATTCTTTTTAAAGAAGAGAGAGGGGTGTAATTCATTCCCATTTTTAAGTATTCTTTGAATAGTTGGTTTCATATTGAAATTCGACTCATAAGAATAAAAGCAGAAAAACAATTTCAAAATGTTTCTTCAAACTCTGTGCATTATACACCAAAGTATACTTCTATTCCATATAATAAAGTGCATACACAAAACTGTTTTAAATTTGAAACATATTTACCCAGCTTGTAAGTTAACAGTAATTTCTAAGCCTTACTTTAAGTGAAAGTATCATATTTAAGAATTTTTAAGAACAATGTATACTGTTGAAAATTGTGTGTTTAATTCTTCGTAGATTTAAGATTTTTACATCATCATAAGTGTTTTAATTCCATTTCTTCGAAAATATTGTATAATCGTTGTTTGTTTAAAGAGAATTTTCAAACAATTTTTAGCATATTTTTTATTTTTTGTTGAATCTTATTGCTCATTGCTTTGTAGTTACATGATTCATTGTCATTCTCTCATCTTTGAAATTAAAGAAAAAATGCAACTCAAAAACAAGTTCTTTTTGTTTAACAAGCCTTTTTCTTTTCTTAGTAGACCTAAAAAGGTTAACTTTTACAGTGGTGTCATGCTACCGTATCACTATATTTGTGTTTTGTGAGAGTGA